ACATTTTCCTTGCCTGAATTTTTCTCCCAGGACATCCCTGGTAGTGTAGTTATTATGTAATTAGAAAAAGCAATATATTTTGATTTATCATAATTTATTTTAATTTATTAATCGAAAACCACTTAACTATTATTAACATATCAGCTTCAAATTTATTCCAAGCTGTATCCCTGCAGTTAAAGTCAGGTACTATAATGGTTGTGTCATCAGCGTATTAGTAAATCTTACCGTTGATATTGAGATTACCTAATGCAGGCATGCAGCTACATACATTATGTATAAAAATGGTGATATGACTGTACCTTAAGAAGACTAATGCATTTGCTGTCCCTGTCTTACACAAGCACGACGACATAGCAAATTTTCGTTCACTAGTTTCAATAGTGCGCTGTTAGTTTTGATATTAGAATGAATTTTAGTGAATTTATCCATTAATTATTGTACCATACGAAATATATATAAGATATAATGAATGGAATGTTTTAGACAGGGCGACTTTTACTTCCCGGCGATTGTATGGTACAATGATTAATTAGAACTGCGAATACTTGAATAACCGTTACAAGTCATAACTAATTATAGGTATCATAATAATATAATATAAAATAGTACTTTTGCCCTTCCGGTTCGTGAAGTAAACAAATACAACGTAGTATAAGTACAAAGTAGACGAAACTAAAAACTAAATAATAATATATTAGGTATACTAGGTAATAAAAAATACATAGCCTCATCCTGACGACCTCTGAAACAGAGCGTATTGGATTGTCTATATAGGTACTGCCGGAAAGTCAAATCGATAATAATCATAATAAAAATATTATTAAATATTTTTTATCGAAAGGCCGCCATCACAGGTCGCGTACTGTAGTTGGACGGAGCTTTTGAGTGTGCGTGCGTATATAGCCAAAAAAAGGTTACGCAACACTGACTCGAGACATCTCGTTAATGTTACTGTCATATCACCTTTCGAGGCTGTCGAACTATATATACTCATTATTATATAGAATATATATCATACATGTATATATATATACGACTTTATGTTTGATAATCGACCAGCCTTCGGATCATCGTAATTTGGACGGCATTTTATTTTTTGCCAAAGAGGGTTTGGACGGAGGAGGAGGAGGAGGCAAGCATGAATGAGTGAACTAAATTTGTGATTTATTGAAGGTTTTATATTATTATACAGGTACCTATTTAGGGTCGTGGAACTCTGTCGCCTTTCTTTCGTTTTCATACAAGTCAGGTTTAAAAAAGTATTGAATACAAATACAATTACTAGATTGATACTGTCATGGTAAAACTTAACATTTATTTTAGAATCCCTTTGAGTTACGTCACCATTACATTAAGAATTGATTATCAGAAATTAAAATAGCAATAGTACAATAATTACATTTGGCAATACAAATTATAATAATTAATTGAAGAATAAAGAAATATGTTTTGGACATAAATATGATCTATAAATATAAAAATATTTAAAATAAGAGTTATTAGATGGGTTAGGTTAATTTGAGTACGACACATTGGATCTCGGAAACGGTGGAAACCACGTGGGGGATGTTTACCTATTTGTTGCAATTTGTTATTTTGCAATTAATAAATTATGAATAAGTACATTTCATTGATATAATGTGGGAAGAATTATACAATATTTTTACTGAGATTGTGACGAATTGAGATAATTTTTCTTTAAGGACACGATGACGGTTAATTTTTTTCTACAATATGACAATTGGCGATGTCGTTGGCGAGGAATCGCATCAAAACAAACTTATTGCGTGTGTACTTATAATATTATAGTTGTACTTTATACATTGATTCAAAAATCACTTTTTTTTTGGTTTTATAATAAAGTTTGTCTTTTACGAATAGCCGTTTTTTTCATTTTGTATTTATTTAGATAATAGATATCCATCAATCGGGGTAGTCTACTAGTCTATAATATTATAATATGTCACTATTATAGTGCTTAATCCCGAGGGGCTTTGCAGTCCTACACATCGGATTACGAGAATAATATAATAATAATAATGTAATAACATGCCTGCAGTGAGTCGTCGTAGGTTTTAGGAAATTCAATTTTCGTTCACATTTCGCTTTTTTGATGTTATAATATTAAATTACTTTACGTTATTACTTATTGCACCTCGACGTTCGCATGTCGCCGACATAATGAGACACCGACGACGGCGCAATCGTACAAATATTTGAAAATAAAAAACGAGATACGTACATAGATTTTTTTTTTGGATTCCTCGCCACAGTAATTATATTATAATATGGAGTGCGACGTATAATATGAAATAATATTATAAATTGTGTCACGACGAGCTGCGTTTCCGGGTATTTTTGTCGCCATATTATTATTATTTCGAGGTGATTCCGCATCGGATGAATGCGATTTACAATAATGTTTACACACGTACCACGTGGCAAGCACCACGTGCAATATGATGATGATATTGTTTTTTTATAATGACGTTTCGAGCGAATTCAGCTATTTTCTTAAGTCGTACACAATAATAGTATAGTACTGTGTGTCTGTGTACAATTATTTATCACTGGATGTCTCACACATGATACCATCATATAAGGACATTATATAATATATAAGTTTGTGTCTTCATCTAATGTGCTATCGACTATTATACCGTACTGCTGCTGAAGGATATACCGAGAACGATGATCGTTGGAATATAATATTATTATTATTGTAAAACGAAACAGTATTGCGAAACAATAACTATAAACCACGTAATATGTTTATTATAATATTGTACTAGATGTATGATTTATAATGTAAATCGTCCGATATTCGATAAACGCGCATTTATCGGATAGATTATGATTTTTTTTCTCGTTCACATTCACCGAGTATACGTCATATTAATTAAACTAAGATTAATAATTATAATAATATTATTATTATTTATTATATATTATTATAACGCCTATAACGTTGTAAGATGCTTCGATATTTGGAGATGTTTGCTGGGTGTTCATTAATATAATATTATTATCTCGTTATTAATTATTATATTATAGCCGTGATGGCCGTTCGGCAAGTCAAAGATATTTTTAATTAGATGAACCCGCCCAATCGGAATTTTCCTATAGAATAAAACTAATCTACATCGTATTACAGGTACTACAACCTTTTGTGTGATTTTTTTATAAATCATTTTCATACGCCGTAGAATAAATATTTAGAAACCATGGTACAGTGTAACTGTCGGAAGAAAAAAATGTGTATATAGAAGAAGGGTACCTAAGAAGTCTCTATGATAATAATAACTTACATTGCCGATATTGTACGAAAATTGTTGAACATTTAAGGGAAGACGATTATAGCAGGGTTGTTATAGTCACTATATAGCCTCGTTCTATTCGATGCAATGTGCAATGTTCTGTACAACGGTAGTTCATAATCGAATTTTAATCTTATTTTTCCTAATTATTAAGAAAAATAGGAACCGAGAATGTTTTACTTTTGTGGCAACTAGATTCGCTTCTTTTACCAGAAAAGTTATTGAAGTCGAAAATCTAAGTATTTTTACCTTTCCAAAAGGTGATAACTGTCACAAAAGAAAAAACCAATTATCATTGTAAATCAATATATTTATCGCTTCGCATAGAATCTAAAATTAATGAAAACATACTATACATAATATGTAAACGCAATGCGTTATATTTGTCTAAATGTTATTCCAAATATTCCCCAAATGTCCATGTCATGTGAATTGCCTAAATAATACTCCTTAAAACATGATGCGCTGGAGCTCCCCTTAGGAGTCACAATACCGATCTTTTTCAAAGGAGTTCATTATAGGCAATTTTCTGTGTGCGTACGCGGGTTGTGTGCGTAGTAAGTGGCCATTAGTCTGAGTGACTATGTAGTAAAAAATAAATAGCGGAGAGCTCCAGCACGTGCACATACCTGACAATAACGTAGCACTTAATACGTAGCATGCTAATTTTATTACAATTAATGTGAATTTTAGTGAAACACTGAAACATAATTTCCTATTTCCAATAATATAGTTTACCGAGTGACATTGTTGTATGAACGCTATTATACAAATTGAAGAGAAGAATAGTTTATCTAAACCTGTATAATACGAGTCGATTTTCGATATTTTATTTTCAATGTCCAATAATTAGCTCTAAAACTTGTAATATTTTACTTTTTAAATTTGAGTTAAGTAATTAAAATATAGAAAATTTACTTTTAAACAGACACAGGTTTTAATATTGATAATAGGTGTTTTTACTTTTTACTGTTAAGACTAAACCAACTTTATAAACCATATTATTGGAAAATATACAAAAATTAATTCCCGTAGAATTTTTCTACACTATTGATAGGTTAACTAACTCTAAAAATATTGAACTAGATAATTGTTATAATAATCTAGGATTTGTAGAATATTATTTTTTAAATTTAAATTAAATAACTAAATAATGTTTGTGTATCATACTTAAAAAAACATAACCAGACATGTTAAAATCATATTAATATATTAATTAATTTAGTCATTTAGATTAATTTTGGGGGGTGATAAAATATTTTGTCATAATTTCGTGGTAATTTTTCGTGAATAAAATTTTCTTCTGGCAATTCTCAATTTTCAACCATAATTTACTGACCTTACTCGTATACGATTTGAACGTTGTATTCATTGGAAACTTCACTATTTTTTCCCATTTGTTTTCTCCAAGTTTATAGGTATAATTTTCATAAACATTATATCAACATTTATTATCACGTCGTTGTTTCACCGCTAGCTCTGAGTTGAAATATTTTCAGAAATCTCAATTTTGGAAATAATACTATATCAATGTCAGCTATAACAGACAATAATATTATATTTTTAATATTGTAATAGGTTTACAGTATATAATTATAGCAAAAACTTTTTTTTTTTTTTTATGTATGTCTAAACGTTAAAAAACTCAATACATATTGTTACCATATTATTATAAACGTCTTAACAAACGCACGAAACATTACCGTTTATAGAAATGATCCCATGACACCAAATTACGTTAATCGCATAACACTTCGACATTAGCATGTGAAAGGTGTATACTAGTATTAGGAAAAGTAGTAGATGGGAAGTGAATCCGGTCGGCAACATCCTGAGGAAGTATCCAAGGAGAATCAAACCACCGATAAAAAACAATACAAACCGATTTCCCTTTAGAACGACCGACAAGTTATCTTTGTGTTCGCCCTGTATATATTCAAACGCTCACTTATTTTGTTGATACCATGGTAGTTGTTATATTATTGTTATTATTTCAGATCATCGTTATCACAGAAGATAATTATATTTATTAATCACTCACATCGTTTTGGTTTTTGCAGGCTCTGCAAGACTCCAATATCTCTCGTCTAATTTTGCGATTCCTCAACACGTACCATCTCGCCAAGACTACAGTCGTAAGGATCAAAGCGAATGTGACCAGGGCTCTGTTGAGAAACATAATTTTATTATTAAGTATTAACTGACATTATGACAGCGATTTCGATTGTTTATTTTCGTATAGTTACCGGGCCATTCGTGTTTTAATATTATAATTGTATACATACCGAATAGCATAGGCGTAACTAGCCCTTTACTTTAGGGGGGGCTGGAGTCCTAAAAAAATTTAATAGAAAAATGGGGTACCTATGGAAACATAATCGCCCCTACACAAATATAACTTTATTATACATTGACACACTTACAATCTACTGTACAGCAGAGCGACATCCACTTACCTGCTTTTTAAACTTGAATTGTAATTTTATATAATAATTAATAACAGTAAATAAAATAAACACAATAGTCTATATTATGTAATATGAAATATAATAAAATAGTTATGAAGATTACAAATCTATACGCCTATTCTTCAAAGCAAATTGGTTTAAAATGTTTTCTGACTCGATAACATTTGAAATATCTCTTTCAATATGTAAAATTGACATATCAGTAAATCTTTCCTGGTTCATACTAGATCTGATCCATGTTTTTATTCTCCGCATGACAGAGAAAGAACGTTCACAAGAAGCAGAGCTGATGGGCAGAGTTAAAGCAACTTGCATTAGTTTATATAAATTGGAAAAAACGTTCTGGTCTATTTTTTGTAATACATCACTAAGAGTAAAATCAGAATTTTGAATACTATTTTTAATTACAGTCATTTCAGCTTCTAATGATTCAATATTAATATCCAACAATTTCTAAATATAAAATTAAAAAAATTAGTAGACATATTATAATAAAATAATGAAATGTGAATAATTACACATTTTAATTTTCAACTTTGAATTTTACTCGGTTTGTTGGTTATATTAATTTCGAACTCTATGTTATTTTATTTCAGTACCGCCAACTTTGACTACAGTAACTGTCTACTATTCGTTAATCGTTTTAAATTAATAATATGTACAAATAATTTCTGGGGGATTTTTATAGTTCTATAAATACAATATCTATGTTATCGACGTTATCGTGTATCTAGTATTATCATGTCTAGAGTCTAAAACAAAATAATCTCTACACGAGTCCATTCAATAATGTACCTATATTTAAAAATAGATTTAAATGTATAAAGCAAATCCACGGTTCTAAAAACAGATCATAAAATATACACGTCTTAGATAGTATTGTTAATATAACAGCTGTCAAGTGTCTAGCGATAATGATATAAATTATAATCACGGATGATTATAATTTATAATAATTCCGTATAAACACAAAATTATATACATTTTATTTTTATTCGATAATTATTTATTGTTTATATTGATGTATTCGTTTATATGATACATTATATTTTTTGACACTGCGGGCAAAAATAAAGTTAATACTAATATGTTTTTAGAGGCACATACTGACATAAATTTACTCAAAAAATTTGGAGGGGCTTTAAGTAATTCTGGGGGGGCTGAAGCCCCCCCAAGCCCCCCCCTAGTTACGCCTATGATTCGGGAAACTAAAAATAATAATATTATTATCATACTAAAAACATCAACCTACAATCATTAAATTCTAAAAGAAAATTACCGACATAGCATAGTGCTTATACCTGTTATCATAGTATATTGTGTAACGAAAGTGTTAAGTAAAATTATTGTGTATTTCGAGTGATATCCGCTTGCATTGATAACGTGCAGGATATAGGTACCTAAATAGTTATAGTAGATAACTGGTAAATAGGTTATCACGAGAATATGATAAATTCCAGATTGACGAGTCTGCATGGTAATCCTACAATTTCAACTCGTCGTACCCATCTACTAGCTATACCTATAAAATAGTCGACGAGACTAATTTAGTTTTTAAAATGAATATAAGTATAGTATAGTATAGTATAGTATATAGTTTAAGTATTTATTGACCATATGTTTTATAATCACAATATTATGTACCTCACTGTATATAACTCGGTTTAAGAATTATAATCACCACTTATATAAAATCCTGACCTGTTTATCCACTTTTCATATTTTTCACTAATATTTAGTAATCGGTATAAATTAATTATATATTATAAGCACATAGTAGTTATAAAACATATATCACCAAGTTTGATCATAACAACGGTGTAGGCAATTAAATGTCAATTTTCCATTATTTATAGTATAGATACAAAAGGACGTTTTGAACTTGATTCTTGAACCATCATGGATGTACTCATGGATCACATTCCATATTCTCTTTTATCATTTCTAAAACTTGATTGACCCAAAATGAATTTAAAATCAAACTCCAAACTATTAAAATGATTACAGTTAAAAAGATTAACAATAATAGTCATTATTTTTTATAGCCATTAATACTTACCTAAATTAATTAATCTAGTACAGCCAATAAGTATTTATCATAACCTAGGGAAAATAGTTGTGTTTACCTATCCAAAAGATTGTATTTTTGTGTTGGATTGCGACGTATTTATTATATTTCTTACTAAATATTATTTTATTTTTTAAATGCTGGATAGAAAACCTAGAATATGTAATACACGTTTGTTTTTTCATAGGTAGTATCGTATTACAGTTAAAAAAAACAATTTTGTATAGTATAAAATAATGATAAAAGAAAATAATCAAATATATATAAATAATTAATGAGGAAAAAAAACTGTAAAACAAGTTATGATGTTTTCTAGAATGTTTTTATATTATTTATCAAGGTAATCCACGAGTTGTATAGAAAATCTTTTATGATTTATTTTTACAAAAACCTCAACCTTTATTAGTTAATATTATATTTTATTCAATATTACCTACTATCAACCACAATATATAATTATGTCTATCTAATATTTTTTTATCATTCGTCAAACTCAGATGGAACCAAAAACAAAACCTAATAAAAATCTTTAAGCAAATTCTTCGCAAAAATTACTCTTCCAATTATTTCGTAATCCATGATTTAAAAAAAAAAAGCAGTTTATGCGAAAATAATACATTTTATTTATCTAGCCACTTTAAACAGTGCATTACATAATGTTTTTAAATAGGTACCTATTATGTTTTATTTATTGATTTATAACAGTCTTAAACAACACGGGTAAGCATGTAGGTATTATCTAAAAATTCCTAACATTAAACTTGATATAGGTACGCAAATACAACAGTTGTGTACTGTTGTACACCCACATAAGCGATTCAGATTCACAAATGTTTAAAATGAATAATGTTGTGTACCTAATTTTAAAGTGTTTGTAATTTATAATATTTACTGTGCATAAGTGTTTTGAATATGATATTAAAAGAAAACACTTGAAGTTAGCAGAGTTTAATCTATTATTATACAATGTTTGATTGAAATTCGCCGGTCTCGCCCGTTTACTATACAGATATACTATATATTATGTTACATTAAAAATTGTGACAGCAGTATTATATTTTTGTTACAATTATGATAGTACCGTTTTGTTCAAACAATCCTATTAAGGACTTGCGAGAAATAACCGCTAAAAAGGTTTTGTTACATAAAAAAAAATAATAAAATAAAATAAATAGTACGCGTAACACAATTCAAACAGGACGGAATGAAACTACCGACCCACGATTTAAGGAGAATATATATTTTTTTTGAAGCGTCTGTCATGTTTTTACACATTGATTATTAAATTTTAAAATTATCTCGAAACCTTTGATCTGTTTTTCATGAAAATAAATATTCACGTTATCGAATTCAACTTTTGAATTAACATAATATATTGTTACAACAACATTGTTCTATTCAAGTTGTTATAAACAATATTTACGTCCGAAAATAAATTTAATATCAGTGAATTGTAATTTATAATTTTAAAGATTTGTCTCGATTAAATATATAACTTTAGATAATTATTACATATTTACATGTAATCGTTTCAATTGTATAAACAATCAATACAATAGATTACCTATACTTATATAGTTATATATATGTTCTGCATATTGTTGTGAAGTTTGATTTCAATTATGTTTTGTTCATTTTTGTTTCAAACAAAATATATTAAATTTAATTTTTAGGTGTGCCTATAGAGATTCAATATTTTTCCAATAAATGATAATAGGTGTTGCTTGTTAGATAAATTTTATTGTAGTTTTTGGTAAAAAAAGTTCTCGTTCTGAACGTTCCTGTAGAATAAAATGGTTACCTATTGCACTAATTATCGACATGCTGGGCTTTGAATTCTTCATCGCAAACTCACGAGATTGAAAATGGCTGGCTTACCTAAACATAAAGTATTTATATGGCGATCAGCACGAAAATCATAAACTCATAGAAAAGACTCTAAGCCTCACCGTTTACCACATATTCTCAAATCACTGACTGTTTCATATGCAGCCGATATAAAACATGCAACCATAACAGACACATAATAATATTATGAAATGAGTAAAACACAATATTTGTCGATAGCATGTTTTTGGACATTGCATTTGAACATCGAGAATTCACTGGACTTTATTTTTGCCGGAAAAGCTTTTATTAATGTTGAGCTGCCTACCAACTGTGTATACTACTCGAACAGTACAACTTAATGTTGGCAAAGTTTTTCCCCAGTAATAAATGTCGAGTTCGTTTGGTCGGATTATGAGGGGGTAGACATTTCGTGTTAACCTTATTTCAGTAATTTCTTCTGAAACTCGATCAAAGCACACCAGCTAATATGTCCATTAATAGTGCCAATTTTAATAGTACGTAGTGAGTACCTATTTTACTCATATACCACTAGGAACAGTATATATTATATACATCATATTATACGCGGCATATACATGCATATACGGTTTGATATTTTGAAATCAAGTACAGCCGATGATTTTTGAATGTAAAAAACCAATGTATCGTAACGACCTATACGAAACTTGATTCTCAAATTAAATATAAATAGACATATTACATACGAACAATTAGTTTATTATGACGCCTAAATAATAATGAAATGGAGGTGCGGAACAGTTATTAATATGAATATCATGACTTACGTAATTA